TTCTTTGTCATTATTTTCTTTTGCTTATCAACAATCAACAATTGATTTAACAATAAATAATGACGATATTACAACTGAATCAAATATTGAACAAAGATGGCAATCGAATGATGACGAATATGTTGATGAATCAAAATTTAATAAAGCATATTATAAACATGAACAAGATTTATTAGCAAATATTTATGCACCAAAACGAACTTATATATCAATGCATGATGATCATATTCATCCATCGAATTTTTCCTATTTTACATTTAATAGTCTTGGTACATATCGTTTTATTTTAATATCATTACGTGGTGATGCTGATATATATGTTTCAACACGAAATAAATATGTTTCATATGATAATTATGAATATAGTTCATGTACATGTGGTATTGATGAAATTTTTATTGATTATAATATAAAACGACCAATTTATATTGGTATATATGGTTATTCACAATATCAAATAAGTCATTATCGTTTACTAATTGAATTAGTTGATACAAAAATTCCAACAGATGAAATAAATACTGAACAATCAAATGATGATAAATCATATAAATCAACATATGAACAACAAACATCACAAATAAATAAAAAAACTTCAACAGTTACTGTCGAAGGTGAAGAAGATCAGCAACATTTACTTTGGAATATATTTTTATGGCTTTTGAATTTTCTTGTCGAAGTGTTAACTTGACAGATTTTTTCGTTTTGTGTTTTTGTCTTTCATTGTTTTTTCTAAAATACATATGTTCAATTGTATGCTTGCCGGTGTTTTAGTCGCTTTTATTGATTGGTTCTTCTTTTTTTGTTTGAACCTGCACATAATTCATGTCATATAATGTACTTTTCTTTGCGTTCTGATTTTTAGATTATAATTGATTAGTAAAAAACAACAAAAAAAAAAGGAAAATGGCAAGTACATTCAATCCATTTGAAGCAAATTATGATACAATTAATGATAAAGATGATTTTAATATTGGAAATTCAAATAAAAATTATACAATTGATCCATTGGAAACAGAAGCTGAACGAAATATTCGTACACGTACTGTGTAAGTTTAAATTAGAATTCTATCGGATAGTCTCGAATGTTTTATCCTATGGGACAATTCGACAAAAAAAAAATCAGGATGAGACAAACGGAATTCGACATTCGAAAAAAAAGCTTGTCCCACAGAATTCTAGTTTAAATATAAATTTTATAAATAATCATATTAATTTTATTTTTATAGTACACCAGTTGTAACTGGCTCATCGGTAACAGCATTTATATTCAATGGTGGTGTTATTTTAGCTGCTGATGTACTTGGTTCATATGGTTCTTTAGCTAAATATCGTAATCTGCCACGTATTCATCAAGTTAATGATCGTACTATTTTGGCACTTGGTGGTGATTTATCGGATGCTGATTATATTAAAGAAGCTATTGATGCTAAAATGTAAGTTGAAGAGTTCGGATTGATTTCTTTTTTTTTTTTCATGATGTATATTTTTATAAAAGTGAGGAAGATCTTGTTCAAGAAGATGGAAGTGAAATGACGCCATTGGCTCTTTATGCTTGGTGTACTCGACTGATGTATTATCGACGAACACAATTTAATCCATTGTTAACAAGTGTTGTAGTCGCTGGAATAGAAAATAATGAACCGTATATATGAAGAATTAATTTAGAAAAATTTGTATCTTTAATTAATTAATTTTTTTTTCTTTTGTTTACAGATTTCTTGGACGTATTAATGATAAAGGTTCAGCTTTTAAAGAATTTTTAATTATGACTGGTATTGCAAATCATTTAGCTCAAGTAAATTTTTTGTTTTATCATTATGAAATAATTTCTTTAATATATACATATATATATTCATCTATTTAGGGTTGGATTCGAACAATTCTTGAAAATTCGAATGAACTTAATAAAGATCAAGCTGAACGTTTAATGGATCGTATCGTAAAACAACTTTTTTACCGTGATTGTCGAGCATTTGCTCGTGTAAGATAATCTTATTCAAATATATATATATGATTCTTTTCATTTATTTATTTTCTAGTATCGTGTTTGTATTGTAACAAAAGATGGTGTTGAATTTAAAGCTAAAGAAGTTCAACCTGATTGGAGTTTGGCACCAACACTGTACGTCGTTTTTTTTTTATTTTGATTATATCAATCAATTATTATTATTATTTTTTGTTTTGGTATTCTAGACGCAATACGGAATAAGTGATCAAATTCAAACTATATTGAACTTAAATTGACAATTTAGTCGAGATTTTCATTCTTGTGTTGTTACTTCGTTCTTTTTCTTTTTATTATCATTCTAAATACAGACGAAGTCTTATTTCGTGTTTTTCATATGGCTTTGTTCTTCTCACTTATAGATATTAGGATTTGAATAATTGACGCGATAAACACCAATAATTCTTTAAAATTACAAATTTTCTAATTTTGAGGATAAACGTAAAAATGTTTCCTTTTTTTTTATTTTCCAGTTAATCTCCATTTTGATATTTATTGTGCAAAAGTTAGAATTTAAAACTTCTTGAATATTAAACAAACATTTCTCTTGTCTAATAAGAAAAAACACTAGTTTTTATAAAATCCAAACAATTATAAAATAACAATTTCATTTTCTTAAAAGCATATATATTTATATATATATAACTCTTGAATTGATCTTTCTCGAGGTTGAACAAGTTTCTCTTTTTTTTTGTATCTAAATGAAAGGATTGGTAAACGATGAGTACGGAAATATGCAGCACCAAACAACTAAATACGCAAAAAAAGTGATTGTAAAGGGTGTGGGTGTGTGTAAGAGTGCGGATAAGAATGAAAAGATGACTAACAATCACACCCACACCTATATACATTCATTGATCTTTCAATAGACATCATATTTACTTTCAGTTTTTTTATATACTTAACTTTTAGATGCTAAACTTCCATTGTACTTATCGTTCTGGTTCGTGGATGACTAAATATGCCATAATAGCAAGAATATAAAGAATTTAATTAGTTATTTTTTTGTAATATTTTCATTTGAATATTGATCATTAAAAAAAAACTATTTTCAAAGTTGTCTATTGTTCAATGCATATCCGTATAAGTATGTACTTGAATTTAAAAGAAATCGTTATAAGATATAAGATTGATTGACATTTGGTTTCATCTGTCTATCTCATCATTAAACTTGTTCGAGAAATAAATATGCCAAGTGTCTTATTTCACATTTTTCATCTTTCTTTGTCTTTTGTAATTTACGTATCGATTGCGTTTCCATTGGCAATCTTACTATATCCACGATTAGAAGATGATGTGCCCTTTCAACACATAGAACATACATTCTAATCAGAATGTTTGTTTTTATACTCTATGTATCCTCTTTATCGATTATTACGATAGATTTTCTTTGTTTTCCATTAGCGTCTATTGATCGTTCGATCGGATAAGATAAACCTTACTAGTCTGTCTGTCACCGGATATCATCTTATAACAACAATCAATCAATTGATACATCACGTATCCGAAACAAAAAGAACTAATTAATTTCTTTTTTTTTTTTGTTCTCATATTTAAAACACTCTCTATTAGTCATAATACACATTCACACTATTGTATCTATGATTAACCAGGTAAGATGATGACACATTATTTTCTTTTCTTCTTATTCTTAATAATTTATGGCACGCGTCGATTTCTTTCTTCTTTTTTTTTTCTTTTTGATTTCACTCTATTCAATTCGATATTCTTAGTATGTTTTTTGTTGTACGAATAGTTCATTGAAAGAGAGGGAGAGGAAGAGGAAGAGAGAGAGAAAGAGAGAATGACCGTTTGACCGGTTCAGTGTTGGTCGTTATATGTTCATGTCATGGCTATTGGTCGATGAAGAATAGATGGAACAACGTACACGAGAAAGGAGAACAAACATGTAAAAAATGTTGTCCATTTTCTTTTCACTACCCTCAATCTTCTAGCCATTGACATTAATTAGAACGATGACTGCTGTTACTGCTGTTCTAATTTCATGATACATATGTCACCATCATCATCACTATTTTCATTCTATTATATTCATCATAAAGAATAAATAAACATCTGTTGTTCAACTTGCATCGCATATCAAATCGTGTTAATTTTTAATATTGATCTGAGTCATTTTTCATTCCGAGAAAGCAAAATGAGTAAAAGAACGGAAATAATCAAGCATTGTGTTTCTGTTGTAATATGAGCCACATACTTTTTTGTTTTTAGATATTTTCAATATTTTGTGATTTTTTTTTCTTTTATTGACTTAAACAAAATATGTTCAAGTTTAAACTTGGACATAAACAACCTGAAGAGAATGAAGCTCGTCGACGTCTTCAAAAAGAATTATTTGGATTAAATAAAGTAAGTATATAATTACATTCTATTCTCTTTCATATGGGTTTGTTTATTTAGATTTGTGTCCGTGGTTTTCCTTCACGACCATCAGCACTTGCTTATGATTCTCAATTAAAATTAATTGCTATTGGTACACATACGGGTGAAATTCGAATGTAAGATTCTCTATATAATTAAAAATCATTATCTATTGTTATTGGATTTTTTTTTTCTAGTTATGGCCAACCTAATTTTCAATTATCATATAGTCTTGATCCAAATTCATCATCATCATCATCAATTCGTAAATTAATATTTCTTGATGGTGTAGGACGACTTCTTGTTTTAACTATTGATGGTTATTTACATTTACTTGAAATAAATAATTATAATCCATCAATAAATGATTTTTCATCAAATAGTACAGTACGAATTGATCGTACGTGTACATCAAGTGAAGATGATTCAATTATACTCAAAAATACACAAACAATATGTTTATTAAGAAATCATTTGAATCTATTAATTGGTCTTGATAATGGAAATATTTATTCTTTTAATATTGAAAATTTTTCACTTAATATTAATCCAATTATTTCAACTGATATTATTGAAAAAACGTAAGAGAATAAAAATTCTCGAGTGTATACCTATGAGTCATTTTGTCATCTTTCAAGGAAATTTCTTATTTGATTTTCATGATCAAAGAACAAAAAAAGATTAAAGCATGTTCTCTTTTGAATAATTAATTTGATTTTCTTTAGAATTGTTGAATACTGTAGTGGTCGTATAATTCATCCAGGTCCTGTACAATCCATTGTTCAACATCCAACTAACGAAGATAAAATATTAATTGGATATAGAAATACACTTATTGTCCATTGGGATTTACCATCGAATAGTCATGATCGAACTTATATTTATAAACAAGTAGGTTATTGTTTTTATTTTTGAAAGAATTTATTTGAATTTCTTATTTTTTCTTTTTTTATCTCTCAAAGGAAGTCGAATCTGTTTGTTGGTATAATAAAGGTATGAATTTTGCTACATGCCATAATAATGGAAGTTATGCATTATGGGATGCAAAACAACAATTAAATATAGTTGAAACGGAAAAAATTCCATATGGACCTTATCCATGTACACCAATGACTAAAATTTGCGTCAAGATTATGCGAAAGTAAGTTAGTGATTGTTTTTCTTTTATGGAGTCGATGAAAATTACTTAAGAAGTTTGTAATTAATGTCCTGCAACCCGATCGGATACTTGGCGCCTGAAGCATGGGTCCGCGTATGAAATCATACCTGAACTCAGTTCGGTAATTAAGAAGATTTTGACG